TGGTGCGTTCGCAGCAGGAGGTGAAGGGCGGCACTCGAGGCATCTCACTGCGCTGGAGCTGAGAAGGCAAAGCCCCTCAGGTCTTTACTCCACCGCACGTGGGAGTCTTCTCCCCAGCTCAGTCCCTTCAGAAACTCCTGCTGGTGCTGGGTGGTGCCAAGACTGCATAGACTTCCAGCGTGGGGCAGTGTTGGTGATGGTTTGGGGGCTGCCGGCCTGCTGCAAGCAGGGGGTTGGGTGCTAAGATGCTGATGAAGCCTCTGGCTCGGTGCAGGAACCTGCCGGGCCTGCAGCTGAGGGCAGGCTGTCGTCTGGCTCGGGCAGTGCCCACCTGAAGTGCCTAGTAAATGCCCATAAACAGTGAGGGATTTTTCCAGTGGGTTTCTTTATTTATTTGTTGGAAAATACTGATCTGTCCAAACCCAGACACCCCAGGAAAGTTCCAGCTCTGGCATCACCACAGGAGAGGGTTAGGGTTTCTGGAAGGAGGGAAAGCAACCGAAACTTTGCAATCGCTACTCTCCTCAGGGGTGCATGAAATGCACCCATAGTTTTGGTGAGAACTGGAAACAAGGGATTTGATGCTGTCCCGTGTCCTGGGTGAATGCCCTGATTGCTGGGTTCGTAGCTGTCCTAATGTGGACTTTTTTAGCTTTGCAAAAAGTACCAGCAGGTGGTGGTGCTGGTGGGTTTTTTGGGTGGGTTTTTTTTTTTTTTTTTTTTTGCTCTTGGGGAATCTCATGCTTTTGTGACATGGGGAAAACGATTTCTTGCTCTGCCCTGGTAGGATGTGCACTGCTTGTGCTGATGGAGATGTGTGAATTAGAGGCTTCTTCATTTGATATAGGTGTAGAAATGGGGCACCGGAAGCCTTTCCTTGCCCTGAAGTTTTCTAACCTCTCCCTGAGCAGTAGGATACACTCCTTCCCTACTCCCTCGGGGGCTGCGGGTGAGCTCTGGGCAGGCCTTGGCAGCAAACCCTGCCAAGCCCGCCCTGTCCTGGCCACCAGCATCCTGTACTGGGGGACGCTGGCAGGACTGAAGCGCCCAGGCCTTGGGAAGAGCGCGGTGACTGTCCCACCGTCCCTGCAGGGAGAGGTTCCTCCTTCAGCCTCGTCCGCAGAGAGCCGGTAACTGCTGCGCTGGCTTCCCCTGCCTTCCAGCGCTGTTTTCTGTTTGCCTTCCAGCCCTGCGTTGTTCAGAGTCCTCTGTTTATTCCTGCAGAGTCCTGCCACCATGGTCCCCCCGCCGACATGTGGACACACACCGATCAGTCTCCAGGGGACTCACTGATGCTTTTCTGCAGAGCAGATGGGAACGGTTTGATGAAGCTTGTCAAACCCATTGATCCTCTTGCTAATTCCTCCATATTCCTTCTGCTGGCCCGTTGACGCGGAATGTCGTTAGCAATTTCAAATGCTGCTGGGAGGACACGAGGTCAGCTAGCATTCAATACCTGCCTGAATGTTGAACGCGTGCTCTGCCACCAGGATGCAAATCGTGATTTCCCCGATGAACGCAGCCAGGACTGAGTCCCTGTGAATGCTGTGGTGGGGTCTTCTCTGGCAGCCCCTCTCAGGCTCCTTAGTTCTCTCGCACAGCATCCTTGTCCGGGTTTTCCCGGATCTCTGCGTCTCGAATGCAGCCATCAGTGCTGCTCACTCCTCCTCCCCAAACCTGTGTGCTCCAGGTGTGACAGCCAAGCCAGGCAGCTCCTGCTTTTTGACTCTTGTTTGGCCCCCTCTCCCTTCCGAGGGGAGGGAGGTGGCACAGCAGCCGCTTCTGGACCCCCCACCGGCTTTGAGGATGCTGGCCTGTGCCGAGGCCACGCTCCTAGGGCGCCCGGGTCCGGGGTGCCAGCACCAGCCCATCGGCTGACGACGGTGGCTGGCGATGAAGCGGGAGTGAGCCTCCAGAGGTCGGACTCGGGCTGTGGCGTCACTGGCGCTGGGCCTGGGGATGGGGCTCCTTGCTGCTCTGCCTCTGGTCTTTGTTATGTTTGACTGGGGTTGCTAGCAGCAACGGCAGTCTCAATACATGTGTTCAGGCACAACTGTCCGTGACGCTGCTGCTCCCTCCAAACCCTCTTGAGATTTGAGGTTTGCATCTGCGAGAGAAGCTTTTCCAGTTTGTCTTTAGACAGAAGGTAACTTCCCAGTTATCCTGATGCAGAGGACTTTGGATGTTTGAAGAACTTTTGTTTTCTAAGAGGGCTATTACCCTTTTTACCAGCTTCAAAAATCCACCTCCTTAGGCTTAAGGTGGCTAGAAAATACTGGCCAAGTAGTAACGTGGAGTGTTTTGTTCAGAGTTCTAAAACTTCCTGAACTCTTGCCTTTCTGAGCTGCTGTGAGGTAGGGGAAGGCTGGGAGCTCTTGCTGGGCAGCCACTGTGAGCACGGCAGGACCGTCCCTCCCGCCCTGCGCCATGCAGAGCTGGCGGCTGGGGCCATGGGTCACCTCTCGGTCCATGGGAGCCTGTTGGGAAGGGACCCCCAGAGCTGGTGTGTGGAGAGAAGCGCTCCTCTGGCTGTGACCGATGCGTGTCCCCCATCTGGGGATTGTCCCTGGGGCAGGCTGGAAGCTCTCTCGGCCTCCGGCGGGGAGCCGGGCGCTGGAGTGAGCTGCGGGACCGAGCACCAGGTCCCTCAGGGCACTGCTTTGAGCCCGCGCTGGCGGCGAGCGCTTCTGACGCCGTCCAGCCTTCCCTTACCGAAACGGCCAGGCTGTCCGGGGCAGGCGGCGCCGGTTGTGTGCTCCTCTCCTCTCTTGTCTGCCGTCTTTCATTCTGTTTCTGGCCACGCTGAGGAAGAAGGGTTGCTGCTTTTCATTGTCCCTGCGATCTCGGGAAGGATCTTCACAGGTGAAGGAAGGGGACCTGGCTGCAGATGGAAACACTGCCGACTAATTGGTTTAAAGCATGTTTGGGTCTTTTCTCTGTTACTGTCCTCTCCAGAGAAGCCCAGGCGTGAACCTGCTCCCCTCTGTGGAGCCAGGAGCGGCCCTGGGTGAAAGCTGCCTGGCATGGTGCGGAGGTGGGCTTTGCTGTGCACTGCTGTCGCCTGCTTGGGCAGGGTTAGTCTGGGTGCTGTGTCCCTGTGGCTTCCAGGATTTAATGTCCCATGTGCCGATTGCTGCCTCAAGTACAGAGAGGCGTGTGGGGCTTCTGCTGGGCTGGTGATTTAGAAAAAAAAAAAAAGAGCAACTCATCCAGACCTCGGTTTCTCCTGAGCAGACCTAGAAATACATGGGCGTTGGATCTGATGCAGAGGAGAGATACGGGTATCCTGTAAGGATCCTCTCTTGGAGCTTAATGTTTTCTGGAAGTATCTGTGTGGGCTTGAAGCAGATTTCGGAGCAGCCTGGCAGGGCGAGCTGCACTCTCATGCTTATCGGCAGCGGCGGAGCGATCCAGGCTGAGGTTTCCTGAAACTGCTTAGTGTAGAGAGACACCGCAGGGTGGGCTGCTCGCAGGGCTGAGCTCTTTCTTCCAGCAAATGTATGCAATGTCAGCCAGGTGGGTCCCTCCGAAGGAACGAGCTTTGAAGATGGATTGCTAAACCTGTAAATCATTTTGTAGCTTGTGACTG